TAATAAAATTAAAAAAAAAAAAAAAGAAAAGAAAATATGTACCAGTGGGCAGCCAATACTCTTGTTAATAATGACAAGACACGTAAGAAGATCTAGAACTGGGAGTGCAGTTCAGGGGCAGCACCTGTGCTCAGCATGCATACGGCTCTGGATTCAGTTCCCAGCACCAAAACCCCGTCAGAATCGCTGCACACCGAGTACCGCCCTAACCAGGGCCTGTGCTAAGCAAGCTGCACACCGCCGTGTTTCACCTCCTCTTGGGGCTCAGCCTCTGCTAGAAACCAATACCCGGGCTTCTGTGCCGGCAGCACACGCCACGCCCCTTCCCTACCACTGAAGTGCTCCCTTTCCTTCCTAGCTCAGGCCTCATCTCTGCAAGTCCAGAGGCACTGGCGTTACAGAGCCATTATCAGCTACATGGCTACAGGCAACGCATCGGGCTTTCCCACACTTTAACTTCCCTGCCTGCAAAGTGAGGACCAGGTTCTACTTAGGGGCCTTGAGGGCTACAGGAAATAATACCCGTCAGCTTACAGCTAAATAGATGCACCCTGAGACCAGACTCTTAAGTGAGGTGAACCAGACACACAGGTGTTAAGTATGGCATTTTCTCTCTAGTTTGAGAAAGTGAAGGGTAAATAAGGACAGAACTATGTAACAGAAAATGATCAAATGGGAAGGGGCACAAGGGAGAGGAGAGAGGGAAAGAGAAAAGATGAAATGGAAACAAAGCTCTCATAAATAAGAAGGGGAAGAGATGTGAAAAGGGGGGAGGGGAATAAGAAAAAATATGACTCAAGATATGTCACTTGTACAGGTACAAATTCCATGTGATGAATGTGATCACTATGTCTATCTAAATTGTACCAAGAAGCGATTAATGATTAAAAAGAAATCATAATGTAAGGCCCCCGGCACAGCGGCTGGCACAGCACACACGCTGCGTGCGGCTGCTATGGTGACCTCCACGCTGCTGCTGCTCCGGCTCACCCTCCCCTCCCCTCCCAGTAACAGACTGAGGCAGCCTACCACTCGTATGGGGCGCTGTGGGCAAGTCACACCTGGCTTACTCTCTCTTCCTGGACGGGTATTTTACCTCCAGTGATACCACACGATTCTCAAGGACAGGAACTCACTTTTCTCTTCTCTGTGCCAGGCCCAGCAATGGACACATCACAAGCTTTATGGGAAAGGCAGAAGCACTCTCGCTTTCTGTCCAGCCAAACCCAGCACACACCCTTCAGGAGGCTCACCCGGCACTTGACCTTGTCCCCGATGTGGTACTTCTTCTCTGGGTTCTTCAGCAGGACGTCAGCCAAGTGCGTGGCAGGTACCAGGCCCCTCATTTGTTCACCCACCTTCACCAGCATCCCAAACGGCCTTATGGACAGCACGGAGCCCTAGGAGTGCAAGGAAAAGGCACCATGAGGCTCCAGAACGGTCTTCCCTCCCTCTCTCACCACAGAGCATGTCATACCTCTTTCAAGCCCAAGCCCACCCTCCTGGCTGACTACACCTGTTACTGTAGCTCTCACCACCCACAGATCTGGACTGAACCAGGCCTAAAGAGCCTTCATATCTTTTTGGTTTTTTTTTGTTTATGAAGAACTGGGAACTGAACTCAAGGCCTTCACACTGAGCTATATCACCAACCTTCTTTTTCTTCTTTGAGACAGAGTCTCTTGCTAAGTTACTGAGTTGCCTGGGCTGGGCTCAAACTTGCAATCCACCTGCCTAAGCCTCCTAGAGTGCACCCCGCCCCTGGCTCTTTCACATCCTTCCGGCTGAAGGTACTGTCCGCCTGTCTTCCAAGAATATTCCCTAAAGGAGGGAACTGTGTCTCCTAAAGAAGGGGGAGCTGCTCAGCACCACATGGCTGGAGGAAAGATAACTCCAGCTGTCTTCGCACTAATATCCCAGGAGCTCAGCTACCACAGGACTGACCCACCAGTTACTGGTTACTACCCTTTAACCACCACCAAATCCCAAATCCCGGGACGGAAGGCCTACTGCCTCTGGGGAGTTTGGTAGTGCCAGGTAAGAACTTGTCTAGACATTACAAGTTACCCAAGGAGGAGAAAGAAATTCTAGTTAGCAGGCAGAGACAAGGAATGTAAGGTCACGTTAACAGAAGAACTAACGAGCTGAGAGGCAACCTGAAGGAGTATCTAGGTCTGTGTTTTCGGTCTTACCTTCACCACTGCCCCAGTTTTGATATCATGATATTTAAGGTACTGAGCTTCGATAACAGACCTACAGCAAAAGGAAAATACAGGACTGATTGATAAACCAGAACTAGAACTATGAATTCAGGGCTACCACAGTTATGCTAGGAAAGGGTCTAACCCACCCCGGCCAGGAGAACGGAGGGCACGCACAGGAGCACAGCTCGCAGCCCCATGGGTCACCGGCACTTACGTCCTCAGAGAGAGCAAGGCCAGTTCATCCATCTGGCTGTAGTCAATAATTCTGCACTTGTGAGTGTTCCCCGGCTTGAAAGCCTCGGGTCTGAAGGCATTCTTAGAATCAGAGAGATGGCTGAGCTGCAAAATGCCAGGCAATCGAGGGTAAGCCAGAGACAATACTCGGAGCCAACCAGACTTCACAGAAAACTGAGGCGCTCAACACGTTCCTCACCCGCCACAGAAAGTGTTTTGACTGACTGCTTTTTTGGTACCGGGGCTCAAACTCAGGACCTTGTGCTTGTGAGGCAGGCGCCAGTACCACTGAGCTACATCCCTGGCCTGCTTTTTTGCTTGAGATGGGATCTCATTGTATAGTCCAGGCTGGCCTTGAACTCACAGCAATCCTCTGTGTTGGCCTCCCCGAGTGCTGGGATTACAGGTGTGTGCCACCACACCTGGACTGATAATTTCTCACTTTTTTTGTTTGTTTGTTTTTTATATATTGAGGGTCTTTTCATGTTAATACCTTTGTATATTTTTACAGTACTGAATATTGAACTCAGGGCCTTGCTCATGCTAGGGTCTCTACACTGAACTACATCTTTTTTCGTGTGTGTGTGTGTGTGTGTGTGTGTGTGTGTGTGTGTGTGTGATTGTTTCTTAATAACATTAAGGATTGAACTCAAGGCCTCATGCATGCTACACAAGTGCTCTATTACTGAACTACATTCCCCAGCACTTTTCACTTTGAGACAAAAGTTTTACTGAGTGGCCCAAAGTGGCTTCAGACCTCTAGTCCTCTGGTCTCAGCCTCCTGAGTAGCTTTTTTGTTTTTTGTTTTATTTTTGTTTTTTTGAGACAGGGTCTCACTGTGTACTTGAGATTGACCTGGAACTCACTATGTAGCCCAGGCTGGTCTGGAACTCACAGCGATCCTCCTGTCTCAGCCTCCCGAGTGCTGGGATTACAGGCATGAGCCACCACGCCCAGCTCTCACTCTTTACCATCATGGAATTTCAACAGGGTCAGAAAACAGACTAGATCATGGGTTGGTAAAGTGCACTCATAAACTGGTGTCTGTTTCTACAAATAAAGTTCTACAGGAACAGAGCCATGTTCCTTCACTTATATACTGTCTGTGGCTATTTTTATGCTCTAACAGTTGAGTAGCTAGGACACAGATCACAGGGCCCATAAGCCTAAATTTTTCATTAATAAAATTTTCATTTAATTAAAACTCTGCTGAGTATCAATGGGCAGGGTATTTAGCTCAGTAGTTTTGCCTCCTGCCTCTCAAGTGCAAGGACCCGAGTTCGATCCCTGGTACAAAAGAAAAAAGAAACCAGTATCAAGAGATAAAGTAACAGAAAGTAACATGTCCCAAAGTCACTCCAGTCAGGAGGTCCCTGCCCAGACTCCATACCCGGGCATAGGCCAGAGCCCCATCCTTCAGCCTGAAGGTGGCCCCTGCCTTGTTGAAAAAGCCCTGGACAGGGACGTCTTTCATCACAGCTCCCACGTGCTGGCAAGAGAGCCGGGTGAGTGGGCGCCCGGGCTGCAGGAAGATGGGGCGCAGGCTCAGGCGCACAGCCCTGGTCCGAGGATGCACACAGAGGATGCAGGCCCTCACCTAGACAAGAGAAAGGGCAAGGATGAGCCAGAGGCCATGGGAGACAGGACATTTACTTTCTTTTTTGTTTGCTCTTCTTAGACAGGGCCTCACTATATAGTTCAGGATGGCCTTGAATTCACCATGTATCTTTCGCTGGCTTTGAACTAGCAGCGATCCTCCTGCGTCAGCCTTCCAAATGCTGGGATTGCCGGGGATTTAGCTCAGTAGTGCTGCAATTCTCCTATGTTAAATATTTTTCATGGGGGTGCACACCTGTAATTCAGCATTCGGGAGGCTGAGGCAGGAGGATCGCCATGAGTTCAAAGCCAGCCTGGGTTACATAGTGAATTCAAGACTGGCCAAAACTATGTAGCAAGACCTTATCTAAAAAAAAAAAAAAAAAAAAAAAAAAAAAAAAAAAACCAAAACAGAACAAACAACGACAAAAAAGCAATGATTTACTACCCCCCAATCAAACTACAGAGTATGTTGTGAAGACTGCAGTTGCCTATTCTGGGCCTGACTCTTCTCTAGCCTCAGCCCAACCACTGCAGCTTCTCGTGCTCCCTCCAGAACACTCTCTACCATGCCCTCACCGTCTCTGCAGACCTGCATGCCTCAGTCCCAGGACCGGCCTGAGGCCTGTGGGAAACTTGGACCGCTGCCCGAGACACACACAGAATCAAGAGAAGACCGGGACATTTCTTACGGCTTGGTTTGAGAAATACGTTCCCACTTTCTTGGGATCCAGGTGCATGAAGTCGACCAGGCCCGTGAAGAACGTGAGGAAGTTCAGGGTAAGGCCAAACTGAGTCACCTGGAAAGAAACAGAACGAGTTGCTTCTCTGAAGGAACCAGGTTGTAGGAGACACTGCTCAAGCACACGGCCACACTGTCCCTAACTGTGCACCTCCACCCAGCTAACCCCTAGCAATCTCTCTTCCTGTAAACTTAAGTGGCAAGACAACCCCAAGCAGGGGCTGCTCACCTCCATTCCAGCCTCAGAGCCAACATCAATGCTCCCACCCTGTGGATTTCTTAATGGGATCCAAGGAGCTTACACAAGTGTCCTGAGGGATCTACCAGCCCAACAGTTCAAACTGCTGCTAACTTGGATATCTGTCTAGAATGAGAAGGTAAAACCCAGATGCTTAAAAAAGGGGAAAGAATGGCCAAGAACAAACTGATTCACCCTCCGGCACCTCCCCAAAACTGAGAGGACAAGCACCCCAAAAGAGGTCTGAGAGGGGAAACTGAAATCAAGGAACAAGTCAGCTCCCCAGCTCCTCTTCTCACCTGCAGGACCCATCCCTCTCCCTCCTCCACTGAAAACAGGAGACTCAAACTACAGGAGAAAGCAAATCCTAAAAAGGTGGATAAGGAGAAACTCTGAGTATCACATAGGTAAAAGACGGGAGGGCTCTTTCTCCCACCCTCTCATCCACACTATGGCCTCCAGTACGCCGATTACTAGATCCTTTCGAGAGAAATCCAAGAGAATCTCCGAGTAGACATTTCTCCAAGGCATGCAAAGGGCTACTAAAGGTGCTCAACGCCATTTATCATTAGGAAAATACCAACCAAAACCACAGTGAGATTCCACTTTGCACCTGGACTGTGATGACAAAAGACCATTTCTCAAAATACCAAAACCAAGAGAAAAACAATAATCGGTGCCTAAGATCAAGAAATGAAGAAATATGAGCAGAAGCTTATTTGGAAATATGGAGGGAAATTTCAAAAGAGAAGCTAATAAAGTTAAAGGTAGGGGTTAGAAGAGATGACATCATTCTTCACGACAACCCTTTAAATATCATCTGACCTTTAAGATCTGTTCAAAAGTAGTATGAGCCAAATATATAACTTTAAATTTTCTAGCAGTCATATTTTAAAATCTACAAATAGAAGAAGTTTCTTCCCCCCAGCACTGGGAATCAAACATAGCATCGCAAGCACTCTGCCTTTGAGCTCCCCCGCTACCCTTCGATTTATATTAATAATAATTTACTTAACCCAGCCGGGTGTGGTGGCGCACACCTGTAATCCCAGCACTCGGGAGGCTGAGGCAGGAGGATCTTGTGAGTTACAGACCAGCCTGAACAACTTAGTGAGTTTCAGATCAGTCTCAAATACATAGTGAGACCCTGTTTCAAAAACAACAACAAAAAAAAACCAAACAAATAATGTACTTAACCCAGCTTGTCCAAGTTATTATTTCCAACAAATGGCACCAACCACATTTAAAGATGCCAATGGCCACGTGTGGCTAGCAGCTACCCTACCCAACAGCAGTTTCAGACTGCATGTACATGAGAACTTTAACAACTACTTTTATTTTAGAAAATGGCAATAACACGAACGGCTTACCTTCTGAACCTCAGCTTTGACCACCAGTCCTGGTAGCAAGTTGTTGAGGCTCCAGTTTTGCTCCCGGGTAGCAATGGCAGCAGAAATCTCTGACTGCTCTACGGAGAGGCTAGCAACTCCTCCGTTGCCTTTCACCTCCTCAATGACGCAGTGCAGGTACTGACCCACCTTCAATTTAGCACCTGTAAGCCCAGCCCCAACCCCAAAGAAAAAATACCTCTCTGAGAAGGACCTTTACCATGGGCCCAAGCCACACCAGAAAACACCCAGGGCTTACCTTCCCATCAGCAGCTAACATCCCCCACATCCCAGGCTCTATGGGACCAGCTACGAGAAAGGAATGAAGCTGCCCTGCCCTGGCGAATCTGGAATTTAGCTACCCCACAAAAATAGGAAAAGTCCAACAAGCCAGGAAAGTGCTGGGGGCCGAAGTACAGCAGAATCTACCGGGTGAGAAGTGGAATCTTGCCCATCCCCAGCTCTGAGTGAGACCCTAGCACTCCCTAGCCTCTCATAGCTTCCCTCCCCTATCAGTGAGGACTAAGCATGGATGTCCCAAAGCCAGCCTTGGGTCACCATTCTGTCACACCTCTCACCAGGGTGACATTTAAATGTTACTCTTATATGCACCATCTCACTGCCAGTTACCAGCCTCTCTTCCTACCCTCACCTTTGTTCTTCTGTCGCATGTATTTCTGGGCTTTCTGAAGTGGCAGAAAAGCTCTGGTCCCAGCAACACCAATATCCATGACATAGCCGTGGTCTTCCAGGCTGGATACCGTACCCGTCAGCAGCTAGGCAAAGAGGAAATATTCCCAAAAGTTCAGCAGTTACAGGATGCACAGCATCAATTAGCAAATGTGAAGGTTCCCACCATTAATCTCAAAAGCTTCCTGTTTTAACTTTAAACCACAATTCCATTAGGCAACGGAAGAGGGACAAGACACGTCGTGCAAAGAAGGACGAAGAGTATGGCCTTACAAAGCCACTCCCACAGTCACAGCTACCAAGAAAATCCAGAGCCCCCTTCTAGCCATCAGTATGTCTCTCAAGCAGCTGCAAGACTCAGAAAGCCCACCGATATCCTCTCCATTCACAGGAAGCACTGCGGCTCTGACATTAGCTCCTTGGTCTTTGATAAGTCACACCTTTGAGACTGTGTCCCCAAATGCAGGAGCAAAGTATCTACCTGCTTACAGATCTGCTGTGTTCTATACAAGATAAAGCACTTGTAATGCCATCCCCCATGGAACAGGCTCTTGGTATCTGTCCATCTCCTGCAATGTGGCTTATTGCTATTACTTTTTTACCCAACTAAATCCTGCCAAACTTCCCAGGCCTTCCCCAAATCCTACTGCTCCTAACCAAACACTGGAAGACCATCTCGATTTTCTGCCCCTTAACTCCCAGAGTACTTGTATGTGTGCAGCTTACTCTCTGCATGTACTGGACTTGGAGGTTCTGCACCAGAACTAATTCTTCCAGAATCTCCATGAGAATAGATACACAATAGTGGGACGCACATGAAAACAGCTGGCAGATGAACTGCCATGTCTACCCCATCTCCTGCTCCCAAGAGGGGCCTCAAACACTCCGCACAAGTGCAAGAGGGCTCTGCAAAAACACTAACTCTATGAGGCAGGAGGAAAACTTCTCACTGTCACAAGTTCCCTCAAAGGCTCCCTCCCTGGAGGCATTTTATTCTCACACCAGTCAAAGCTAGGAGTCGGGCGTGGTGGCACACACCCGTAACCCCAGCACTTGGGAGGCTGAGGCAGGAGGACTGCCATGAGTTCGAAGCCACCCAGGCTACATAGTGAGTTTCGAGCCAGTCTGAACTACAAAGGAAGACCCTGCCCCCAAAAAACAACAAAACAAAACAAAACCAAAAAAAGAAAAGAAAGAAATTTGGGCTTGCTTCCCCTTTTCTACTCTCCAACATAAAGAAGTTAGATTCATGTTTTCAATACTCATTAAGCACTTAAGCACCCAGGAAACCTTCCCTCCAGGACAAGAGTCACTTCCACGTGTGGTGGTTAAGCTAAAAACAAAGGGTGGCCCCAACCAGAACACCCAGAGCACAGGGCAGGGAGGACAGGGCCAGCTCCTCATGCCTGACCCAGATACATACCATGCCAGGCTTCAGGGCCTCAGCACTTAGCACTCTGTTGACATTTCTGGGGTTCAGAGAGAGCTTGACACTCCTTTTGCCTCTCTCTGTGATGCTCACACTGCTTACCACACATCTCACCAGCATTCCAGGCGAGAAAAGTTCAGGCAAGCGGAGTAGGTCCTGCACAATACGAATGAGAAAGACCTGATGCACACCTTTTCTCTGGACAAGAATCCACTACCCAGCCTGACCCTGTGCCTGCAGAGGCGCACCGTTCTGCAGCCGAGTCACAGCTTTTACTCTCCACACAAGGCCTCCAAACATTTCCACGTAATAGGAAAGTATCACTGACCTGTCAAAAGCTGCCTCTATTTAACTGTCTCCACTTCATCTCCTACTCTGTAAACTACTTTCCAGCCCCACACCATATTTATCTCCCCAAAACTCACCCATGAGTCTACATCACTAAACGCAATGGTCTGTCTTGCAGTCCTTCCTTACGGGACCTATGTTTATGTTTTACTTAGTTATACATGCACGCTGCAGACTGAATTCGGGCTTTGTGCGAGCTCACCATGCGCTCTACCCCAAGTTACGCTCCAGCTCTCTTACATGACCTTTGAAAAGGACAACACCGCTGACTATCCCTTTCTTTAAACATTTCCTCCCTGGCTTCTAAGACCCTTTATGCTATGTGGCCCCTACTGCTTTACTGGACAGCAACTCTCCTTCGACATAGCAATTAAAATTAAAATGTGGTTTTTATTCTACACTCAGTCTTTCCAACTTTTCTCACTCAAATTTGCTCCCCATCAGCAACTTTGTCCTTCTTCATAGCTTCAACTACTACCTATCCATTATGTCTCTAGCCCAGACTTCTCCACGCCCAGCACCCACAGGATGGCTCAACTCTACCTCTAACTCAACATACCAAAAAGGCAAGTCATGATCATCTCTCCCATCGAGCCGGTACAACAGACCCGCCTCCCAAACCTCTCTCTGCCACACTCTCAACAGTGAACTTTTCATCTGGCCTTGGCTTAGTTCTCAGTCCTCGGTAGACCCTGGACACAAGGTGCCATCAATCTCACAATCTGTACTACTAAAATTATCTCCTAACTGATCTCTAGCAACTTCTCCTGCCTTTTCAATCTATTTGCTATGGTGTCTACCTGTCACCCACCCCAATGAGACCACTGCAAAAACTTCTAGGATTTAAACTAATCTTAATATAGTCTGCAAGCCATGGATGAGGTTTCCACTGCACTCTCCATCCAACACCACTCTCCCTACTCTACCATACGGGCCTTCTCTCTGTTACACAGCATGCTGCTTCTGCCTGAACTCTTTCTTCTGTTCTTCAGGTTTCAGCTCGAATAGCCCTTCCTTATGGAGGTCTTCCTGGCTCCCAGAACTAAGTCAAAAGCCCCCTTCATTGTTTAAAAAAATAACACAAATCCTCATTACAAATTCTCATGGCACCTGAGCCTTTTCAACTGAGCACTTAGGAAAGTGATAATTTTACATCTGTTGGGGATTTCCCTCACCTTCAGAGGTTCTTCTTGTACCACCTGCTCATTCAGCTTTCTGGTGTAGGCATCACAGATTTCAGTCACTTGCACAAAGCCCTGGAGGCCATTGGGGAGACTGACCACCAGCTCCAGTTCATTTACCTCTTTGACACAACCCAAAATCCGCATTCCCTCACACAGAGACTAGAAGAGAAAAAGTAAAATGTGCATAATAAGAGAACAATGACAGAGAAGTTGGGGAGTCAAGCCCCAGTGCTGACATTTAAAAGCTATACAGTAAATAAACAGAAGTATAGTGTAGCTATCTGTGAGTTATCAACTATCTGCCACGCACTATAAAAGGTCTAGATCAGACAACAGCGTCGATGACCCAAGTTGCTAGAGGATACATTTGCCTTTTAGCACATCCCAAGCAACCCAAACTCAGATGCCTGGCAGATGACCAGGGAAGAAGGCCGGCCAACGGAGACAGCAGCAGTGTGCAGCACACACACGGTTCTAATGGGTACAACCCCTGAACAGCTCCTGGTGGCCACAAACATTGGCACTTAACAGATTTTCATGAGGAACCAGGACTGTTTTCATACAGAACTTCCAGTTTTCTACTTTTGACACCTAGTTGAACAATTTTTTTTTTTTTTTTGATACCAGAGATCGAACTCGGGTCCTCGCACTTGCAAGGCAGGTGGCGGAACCACTGAGTTAAATCCCCGGCCCTGAACAATTTTTTTTTTTCAAAGTATGAAGGACACACAAAACACTGTAGGCTGGATTTGAATCTTTTTCCGAAAATCATTTGACTCTCTTTTCTGTTTTATTTATAACTAAAATATATTGGAAGTTGTAATCTAAAAGTTTAAGAAACATAAGACCACATCACTTTTGGGCCAGGGATTTAGCTCAATGGTTCCTCCACCTGCCTCGCAAGCGGAAGGTCCCAAGTTTGATCACCGGTACCAAAGTAAATAAATAAATAAAGACCACATCACTTCTCTGAGGTAGCTGTATATCTATGAAACAAATGCACAGGATTAGAATGACTGCTAAAGTTCACTGGCAATTCTAGCCTCTGTATGCAAATCCAATGAAAACACCAGCAAAACCACATCACCTTAAAAACAGACAAACAAAAAAGATTCCAGGCATTAATTAGCAATCAAAGGAAATAACTTGATTCTCAGCGTAATTTGCAAAAATCTCTACGGACACGTGCACAGAATACTTACATATGTATATATGTACGGGAAAAAAGAAAGAGGGGAAAAGGAAGAGGAAAGAACAATACAAACCTCACCAAACAGAGTCGTGTGGTAAAAGAAAACCAAACTTAACAAACCTCCACACTGAGGATTTCAAACTTCTCTTTGACAGACTTGCCACTCTCTCTCTTTTCAGTTTTCAACTTTTTTGTTTTTGCTGGGCCTTTCTGGTTCTTTTTCCTTTTGATGGACTGTTCTTCAGAGGAAATCTAAAGAGGAAAAATGATGCACAAACGTCCAAAAGAACAAGCAGCAGCAATTTCCTTCACATTTTACCTTCTACTTTGGGTTATTCCTCACCTTCTGTCATTCTGTTACTCTCCCTCTCCCTGCCATCCCACTCCCAAATGCTTCCATGACAAGCTACATGGTTTCAACTACATAATCTCCCCGAGCCTCAGTCCTTATCATGCAGTTGGAATTTATACTGTATTAAATGAAATGGTCGGAAAGATCACAATATAAACTTAAGGCCATATTCCAAAAGTCAATTCCCTTCCTCTAGGATTTAGAGTACAGTCTACTCCAGGTCAGACCACAAATTTCAATAAAAATCCTGACAGTTATATGTGATAAGGATCCCTTTAAAAAAATACAATGTTCAAACTGCTTTTTTTCCATTTTTAATCAACACGGCACAGAATCTTTAAAAATAAAGTAAACTTCAAACTCAAAGTACTAAGGGCCACGCTTTAAAAGATAGGGCTTTTGTGCTGTTACAGGCAAACAAGTTCAATTTATAGAAGTGGATCTTAGGAAGAAACAAAACTAGAAAGTAAGGATTATTCTTCACAGATGCTAGAAAGGTTTCTAGTGATTTTCTCAAAAAAAAGCATACTACTTACATCAAATAAGTTGTCATGTTCAATTGACTGCTGGTAAGATTTCTCTAATTTGTGGATCTTTCTTGCGCCCCCTCGGGGAAAGCTTTCTTCTATGGCTGCCATGTCTGGGTCTCCTAAAAACAATGCAAAGAATAACCATGAGATGTAGCAGTGATTCAGGTTTCATAAAGGCTGGAAACAATGAGCAAAAGAACCTTCTAGTAATGTTCTAGGCAAGAGTCAGGCTATGACGGATGGTTGGGATGCTGAGCCTGAGTTACTCCATATATCACTTTCCCAAAGATTTCTGCTTCAAAACTACAAACTACACACCTTCCTCCATGAAAGAGGTGACAGACTCAACGTAGGAAATAGTCATTATGTAGGTACAATTATGTCAGACATACATAAATGAATATATAAACCCTTACCCTCAAAAGCACACATTTAGAAGATGTAATGGTAATGCAAACAATCTGAAAAACAAACCAAATTATATACTATAAGCAAAGAGGTAGGGATTAATAGTCTTCTACAAAGGAGGAGAGCTTCAAAAGGGGATGCTTTCGAGCTGAATGTTACAAGATGAACAGTCAGACAAGCAGAAAAGTAACACAAGCATACAAGACAGACATGGTGGAGCACAGCTGTGATCCCAGTGCTTGGGAAGCTAAGGCAGGAGGATTACTGGGAGTTAGAGGCCAGCCTGAGCTTTACAGTGAGACTCTGCCTCCAAAAAAAAAAAAAAAGGAAAAAAGCATAGAAACAGAAAAAAATCCTGCTATTCAACAAACACCATCAGTCTGCATAAATCATTCAAACACTTGCTGCTGCCTCTCTTTGAAGAATAGTTCAACTAAGCACAAGAAAGATAAAGCATAATAATTGGAATTAAGTTTTAAAAGACAGGTTAGGATTTTGGGGGAAGATATTAAATTAGACATAGATTATGTTTATTTTGACAAGCCAGAGCCTTACCTAGAAGAGATGGGACAGCAATCAAGAAAAATATACTACAGGCTACGCAGTGGACAGGAAAAGAGAAGACTAAGGCAAGTAAATTAGGTAAAAGGGCTCAAATGCATTCAGCAGAGGAACTAGAGCCAGACGGAAGTTAGAAGAGCCTGGTTCTGAAAGGCACTTGTCTAGAGGTACTTTAAGAGGGACTAATGAGAAGGAGCTTAAGATTGGGAATCACGTATGAGTGCGTGCTTCATACAAACGGATAAGTGGAAGAGATCTAATCTGCTGGGAAATCAAGCCTTACTCTCACTTCAGAGAGAAACTGAGGCTACAAAAACTAAAGGGATCTGGAAGCAGAGGAGGAACTCAAGCTATTTTCCCAGGAAAGCCTGGGGTTGCAGGAACCGCTAGAGCAGAGCTGGCTCGGGTGGACGAACCACTCACCCCGCCGGAGGATGCTTGGCAGGGACCAGGGGGTTCTGGCCTTCGGGCAGACCTTAGAGGCACGAGTGGTCTTTCCCTTCTTGTTTCGCCCCCACTCACCAAGTTCCCGGCGGCAGCACCTTTTCACTCCCGAGCCCGCATGGTCACATTCACACACGCGGAACCCAGAGCACCCGTAACACCACGGTGCTCTTCCGGAGCCGTGGGCGGGCTCTATGTGCTACTTCCGTTACTACATAGAAATCTACTGGACTAGACGGTAATGCGGAGATCGGAAGCGAAAGGGCGGGACTCAGCGCCCCAGCCAATCGACGGAGAAGAGTGAGCCGCAGGGGTCGGTTAAACGCGAGCGGAGAAGGCGGCCCTTTCCGGCCTGGCTGTGGAGGGACTTGTGTAAGTTGAAGGACGTCACCTGCGGAATTTGTGGTTCTGACGAGGTGAGTGAAGAGGAGTCCCGGGATCGGACTTCGCGCCTCAGCTTTGTAGGGTCAACCCAAGTCTGACGGTTTCTGGCCCGGGAAGTCCGAGGGACCTTCGCTTTAGGGGGCCGAACGGTGGGGATGAAAAGGGAGCTAGAGAAATGGGGTCGGGGTCGCGGGTGCGGGCAACAGCCGGCCTCCCGGAGGCGCGCGCCGCTCCCAAGACGCTTCGGGCGCATTTTCCACTGAACAAAGTGTCGCGCTGCGAGGGGAGTCCCTCAAGGTCACCTGGTGACGTGAAACTGGGCGAGGACACGGCTCCGACCCCCGTCTCTGGCCGAACTCACCTCTTTTCGTGTGTGTGGCCGAGGATATTTCCCCCGAGCTGCGAGGAGGAAGCCGACAGCCAGGCCTCCTGTAGCTGCGCAGCGGCCTTTGTCCGGCGAGCGCGAACGAGTCTGGGTTCCAGTGCGTGGGGTCGGCGGCCGGCGTTGTTTCCTGGGGGAGTCCGAGCCGACAGCCGAGCGGCTCGCGGCCGAGTTTGCGCTCACCTCTCCCAGTAGGCGTCCAGTCGGATGGGAGAGAAACGGTATCGAACAACGGAACCTACAGGGCAGCGGGTCTTTAATGAAATGCTGGCTTTATGGCAGAGAGCAGCGTGAAGGGATTGGTCGTGTTCCTGTTGGTCAGCGCCTTGTTTAGAAACGGAGACAGAGGCCCTGTGCGCTTAGACTTCCCCACGGACTGCCATTTAACAGCTTAAGTTCACAAGTATGCGTCTTAGGTGATTTTCTCCTTCAATGATACGTTTTTCTAAACTTACCTGTGGCTTAAAGGGAAGCAAGTTGCAATTTAATGATTGTGCAGAGGGCACTCTAAAACAAGGCTTCCTGATCTTTGCTGTCCAGTAACCTGCCTTTTGCTAAAGGGTGCAAACTTAGATGTTGGGGCTTATTCGCGTTCTCTCATCAGCAACACTCCACTCAGCCTCTGTGCAGCCTCTCTTTAAGATCTACACTGAATTTCAGTTACCATGTCATGCCTTTTCCTGCAAATCAGAATTAGTCTTCTGGCTTACTCCTATATTTAGAGTGAAATTTAAAGCACTTTGATGTTTCAGTTGGACACCACATCCTCCCTCAAAATTTTGCTAGGCACGCTGCATGGGAATTGTCACTTAACAAGTTGACACAGTTAAGCACTTGTTTCTGTAGTGTTTCTTGTAAGAACCTACTTCATACCATAATAAAAAAAATTATTACAAAATGAATGGAAGAAATATTCCTTTAGTAGATTTAGCAAAATGAGAGTTAATGTTAAAACTATATCATAAAGATTTCTTTTAATGGAGATTTTCCAACTTGAGTTAGACTGGCCAACGTACATGAAGTGACCTAAGAAAATGTTTCCTCTCCAAAACATTCAAAATTAAAATCTTAAATTGTCATTGCCAAGTCTCTGCACATGAATGTCTCTAAAGGCCTTAGAATGGCAGAGGAGAGCCAGTTTCCATAGCAACAACTCCCTCACTGATCTCTCCCTCTTCCATTTTGTCAAGAGCCAGCAGTCACTGCCACTGCCTACTAATCTCGACCGGACCTCGACCGGCTCGTTTGTTAGCAATCAACTTGGCGTGGTGTCGGTCATGGTAGATAGTTGGTCACACATACAAATTTTCAAATGCCGTTGTGTGGTGACCATTGGAATGTCTCTTTCCTATGATAAAAGGAATACATGCCTTTGTAAAATACACAGGAACTATAGACCTGACCTGTCTTAAAAGTTTGCTATATAATAAGTTGCCAGGAATGCTGATGCTGCTGGTCTAGGGACCAAACTTTGAGAATCATTAATGTACTCTATAGTATATTATTTAGAAATACAGTTTTTTATAATTTTGGATTTTTTGTGTGTGTGGTTTGGTTTGGTTTTGGTTTTTTGAGAGGGTCTTGTTATGTAGTTCAGGCTGGCCTTGAACTTTCTAGCCCAAGCTAACCTTGAACTTGTGGCAATCCTCCTGCCTCAGCCTCGTGAGTGCTAGGATTACATGTGCCACCAAAGCCTGGCGATTTTTTATTATTTACCATTACTTAGGGTCCTTTTTCCGTGTCAGTGCATGAAAGATCTATGGACATTGTATTTCTTCTAATGGAAACCATTATTAGTCTTGCATATTGTACAGATGGATTTTTAGTTTTTCTAGTTTTTTACTTTCATAAACAGCATTTTACCTGGGCATGGTGGCTCATGCCTTCTAAGCCCAGCATTCTGGAGGCTGAGGCAGGAGGATCACCATGACTTCGAGGTCAGCCTGGGCTACATAGTGAGTTCAAAGACAACCTGAACTGCGTAGCAAGACCCTGTCTCAAAGTATTTCAGTGACTATTCTTGAACCACATAATTTCAACATATTTCTATAGTTGAGGTCTTGGGGAAAAAGATTAACCACCTAGATGGAAAGACATACTTGTTATATAATTTGATAGATATTCCAAATTGTACTCTAGGAAGGCTGTACCAGTTTATACTACAAGCAAAAAATGCTGAGTCCCATGTTCTTATTTAACACTGCTTCTTAGTTTTATCTATGCCAGTTTGATGGATAAATACTAGTCTCATTTTACATTTCTTTGTAAGATTTTATGTTTTGCCTTTTTCATTCCTGGTATTCTTTATATTTTCCCTTTGCCAAGATAATTAAAATATTTCCCATCTATTCTTTAGAACTTGCTGGTTTTGTTGTTTACATTAACATCTTATTTTGGCATAAGAAGTGAGGAATCCAGCTTCCCCACCCAACAGAGCCTAGTATTTCAACTCTATTTAGTAAATGATCCCATCTTTGCCCACCCATGGAACCCCTAAGTGATTTATAAGAAGAAAAACTTACATAAAAGTAGGGGTTGTAAGTTATGTTAATTAGCAGTCACCCCTTTGAGAAAGTTTGAAAAATATCACAAGCTGCAAATTTCAACTAGTCTTCATTCACATCTATGTTTATAGTAGCACAACCTGGACTATTCGTAATAGCTCATAATAACTCATAATAGCTAATCTTTGATGCAGCTTCTATGTCCATTGACAGGTCAATGGATTTAAAAACGTGTTTTATATACAATAGAGCACATTGTGCTATAAAGGATGACAGATTTAAATCATCTGTAGGAAAATGGATACACCTTGACTTTTTTTTTTTTTTTTTTTGGCATCAGGGATCAAACTCAGGACCTTGCACTTACAAGGCAGGGGCGGAACCACTGAGCTACATCCCCAGCCCCAAGACCATAATTTTAATGAAGTACATCAGATACATGAGCTTAAATATTACATGATTTCTCTTATATAAGAAACCCAAAAGGGCTGGGGATTTAGCTCAGTGGCACTGCACCTGCCTTGTAAGCTCAAGGTTCTGAGTTTGATCCCCAGTACCAAAAAAGAAAGAAAGAAAGAAACCCTAAGTATAATGAGCAAAATAAAAATGGGTAATAGGTAACAGGGAGATCTTCTGCAAGTGGGAAGGGAACAAGAGCTGAAGGGGGACATAAAAGAATTAAGACGTGTCATGTATGTGTACCAGTTCCCCATGATGAATGTAATCAATATGTACTGCAGACATGCACTAATAAAAATTTTTAAAGCCCAAATTTCAGAACTTCAACAACAAAAAACCTGGTTCAATGAACCATAGTAGATAGAGCTAGGAATAAAAACTGAACTATACTGAATCAGAGAGTGGACTTAACACTTGTATGTTTTTGTATTAAGGGGGTTTTTTAAAATTTTTTATTCTTATTTTTTGAGACAGGGTCTCACTATGTAGTTGAGACTGACCTGGAACTCACTGTGTAGCCCAGGCTGGTCTCGAACTCACAGCGATCCTTCCATCCTCCCGCCTCAGCCTCCCGCATGCTGGGATTACAGGCGTGCACCACCACACCTGGCTTTGTGTTAAGTGGTTTGACATATTCTGAAGTGTTTATGAAACTAGTCAGGTTAAAGTCCTAGACTGTTTTCATTTTCTTTGCTACTGTTGTGTTGGCCAAAACAGATAGCAATTATGCACAGTGAGTCTTAGTGTTTAAAGTAAAACTATATTTTTCTTTTGAATTGCATCCAAACCAATTTATTAATGCTTTTTTTAAAAGATTGGAATCATGGCAGGTCCAGAAGTCGATGCCCAATACCAGTTCACTGGCATCAAAAAATATTTCAACTCTTACACCCTCACAGGTAGAATGAATGTAAGTATTAATGCTAACTTTAAGCAGTTATATTTTAGAATAATACAGGCATGGCAATAACTCTTGTTTGTATTTTTTTTCAGTGTGTCCTGGCCACATATGGAGGCATTGCTCTGACGATCTTGTATTTCAAGTTAAGGTCTAAAAAAACAAAAACACCAGCTGTAAAAGCAACATAAATAGTAAGAAGCTAGCATTTAAAACTTTATACGGAGCTGGGCGTGGTGGCGCATGCCTGTAATCCCCGCACTGGGGAGGCTGAGGCAGGAGGATCGCTGTGAGTTCGAGACCAGCCTGGGCTACACAGTGAGTTCCAGGTCAGTCTCAACTACATAGTGAGACCCTGTCTCTAAATAAATAAATCAGACTTTATACGGGCCAGGAATGCCACATCTGTCTGGCAAGTGTAAGGTCCTGAGTTCAATTCCCAGTACCCAAAAAATAAAAATAAAATAAAATAATAAAACTTTATAACTGGCTGGATATCATGGTGCATGCCTAGAATCCTGGCTGTTTCTCACACTGAGGCAGGAGAGTCAAGTTCATGACCAGCCTGGCCAGTTTAGCAAACCTGTCTCCCAGTAAAATTTAAAAAAGAGCTGGAGACATAGCTCAGTGGTAGAATGTTTATGTAACATATGTAAGGCTCTGGGCTCAATCCCCAATATGATCTGTTTGTTTTAAAGTTTATAACAGCCATTTTTGTATTGGTTACGATAATAGTAAACTTATCATTTTGCAAACGTACTGCATACAGGAAAGTATGTTGCCTATGTATCTCATTACTTTGACAGTTTTTATTTTTTGGCTTAGCTCTTTTTTAATGTATTTGGTTTCCAAAGGCTATGATCATGTCTATAATTTTATAAAAAGTATTTTCTGATTTGAATGTATGAGTGTTCATACATATATTTCACAGAAGAAATCCTCATAATTAAAAAAAATAATTTCAATGAATACTTTGAACCTGAAGCATTGTATTTATGAATGTTTTCTTAGGTTAAAGGATCATGAGGCACCCAGCTTTGTGAGAGGGTGTGTCTTTTGCTTTACCCTTTGTGGATTACTATCAGTTTCCTGATTTGATGAGTAAAAAAACATTGAGTTGTACACCATGCTATGTGACGGTAATCCCAGTTACTTGGGAGGTCCAAGACCAACCTGGAAAACTTAGCAAGACACTGTCTTGAAATAATAAAGAACTAGGGATAGAGCTCCAGTTTCCCTGGATCCAGTTCCCAATACTGGAGTGTTTTGGGGTGGAGGGTCCCCTCTTGCTTTTTCTTCTGTTTGTATTTTTCATAACATTCTGTTCCTGTCCTTGTTTAACAGTTGAGTGACTCTTCATGTAATAATTCTTTTTTGCTTTTTGCAGTGTTGGGGATCAAACCGAGGGCATCGTGCATACTAGGTAAGTGCTCTGCCACTGAGCTACAAACCCAGCCCTGAATGAACTTCAGTTATTTGTTGTCTTTTGGTAGTTTGTCTGCTAGTTTCATATATAATCTGTCTTTTTTCTCCTTCCACATGTTTGTATTACCTCAAGCCCCATTTGCCCACCCTTAAGTGAACAAATGTGTTAGCCATATAATATGCAGGCAGTCCAAAATCCAGATGTTCATCTGATGTAATTCTTCCTTAGATAGTAATTTTTCTTCTGCTGTTAAGAGCTTTTCCAATCTCAAAATGTTTCCTTTGGGAGACTGCATATTCCAGAATGCAGTGGCCTAAAGCTTATTCTGACAGATAGGTAGTTTTTGAGCTAATTTTTCATATATTTTAACTCCTAACTTGGGGAGGGGTGGCAGTACCTAATTAAAATGGAAAACTTGTTTCTCATGTTAAGATGGGAATCTATTTTGTTACTTAAAATGTTACTTTGTATACTAGACTTTTTTAGTAGTCTATCTTTAGAATCTTAGTGAATTTCCTGCAGTTCTGCTATTAAAAGGTGGCATGTTTGGGGTGAGGGATGTACCTGAGAGAATGTGCCTAGCATTCAGGTCCTAGATTCCATCCCACCTTAGGGAGAAAAAACAAGTATCAGTCTGAGATACCTTAATTCTTTGGGCCTTACTGACTCCTTTGAGAATCTGATGGGTTTATATTGAATTTCTTTAGGATTCATAATTATTAAATGTCTTAAAAGAAGAATTGAACATATTTGTGTCAAAACTGTTTTTGCTTTCTTCATGGAATTTTACAGCATTGGACTTCATCTGTCAAGTTCCCGTGCCTGGAGGAGCTAATGTCACACATCATGTAATACTCAGTTTGTACAATAAATTATGAACCTGGAAAAGCTGGTTGTCTTTATTTACAAGGTATCAAAAATATAAAAACTGTACAAAATGCAACAAAGGCAAAAATTGGCAGTGACTTGGTCTAAATCTTTTAGTTTTCCAAAGCAAGGCTCAGTACTGGAGGTAAGCAACTGAAATGTCTGTCTGACTTCAAGTGTACTAGGTTTTACGGAGCCATTTTAGCTGAAGTAGAACATGGAAGCTAAGTTTCTTCACCTGATATACAATGTTTGAGTGCACTCAAAACAGGTGTAAATCGAGATGTTAGTGGATGGTTGTACTTCATCTAAACTTAGGAAGGAATTGTAGTTTACCCTGCCTAGTTACATACATTCCACCAATCACAGGCCAACAAAAAATGTTAGTGGATCACTTAACATAGCACTTGAGTGCCATATCGTAACTTCACAGCAGAAACATACATGCTCATAGAATTCTTCAGCTAAAATTCATATTTCTTAATTTGATCTTGAAGCAGGATGAAGTTAAATCAATTTTTTTCTAAACATAATAAATTAAAATAGCATTTGAACAGAAAATGCATAGTTTCCACACAATCCAAAGCACCATAAATGTCCCCTCCATGAACATAATACCTCTTCTTCAACTAACGGAAATTAGTTAAATGTGGTTGCTATAGAAACGTGGAACTGCACTGTTCAGATTTTCCAAGCAGCATACTTCCAGATTCATATAGACAAACATTCTTTGTAGCTTAAATTATTAATCACTGAGGTATTTGCTTTTTAGACTCCCTTTTTTCAAACAGTAGCTTCCAAAGTCTTTTAATACCGATGGTTTATTGTGGACTATAAGCTCCTGCAGCTAGAACCAGGTTTCTTCGAGTAAAATGGAGGTGTACAACTGGTGTTGATTTGGTCATATATGTACCCAACAGTAACTCCTGTGAATTCTCAGGTAAATTTATATGCCCAGTAGCTGTAGTAAAGTCATCAGTCTCTAAATCTTCAAATGCTTTGATGGCATCCCACAACCGGACTGTGTTATCCATTGACCCTAGGGGAAAATCAAAGGGAACCATTAACCACTTCCACCATATTTAGATTTACCGTGTGTAGTTTATGAATTTACTATAAATTTCTGCTGAGAACCTAAATCTTTTATCACAAAGCCATGAATAATCATTTACCTGATGCCAAAATTTCACCATCTCTACTAAACCTAAGTGAACAGACTGTGTCAGTGTGGCCTTTTAATTCTCCAACCATCAAACCATGTCCAATATCCCAAAGGAGTACTCTGCCATCTGTTGCTCCTGTAGCCAGGAATCTCCCATTGGGAGAAAATGTCAAGGAATGAATTGGTCCCTAGAAAAGTCCATGAAAAACATCCAAGAGTAGTGTTAATATATCACAAAGTGAGACAAAGTTAGAATTTTACTTTGCTGTGGTATATCTTTAAAATATATGTGCCACTAGGTAGTTTGAAAATATTTTTATCTCAAAAACATCTATGTGCTGCAATGAGATGTGAAATACCTTGTGTCCAGTGAAGATCCTTACACAGTTACCATTCAGAACATCCCAGAGCCGCACGGTTCTATCTGCAGATCCCGTAGCAACGTAATTTGAGTTTGGATGGAATCTCGTACAATTCACATCAGCAAGATGACCAGCAAATATCCTTAAGGGCTGATAATGGTCTGTAGCCCAGAGCCTTTTTTTTAATGTTACGGAAATCAAAAGATGATAATTAGTAGTTAACTACAAAATGCCAAAGTTCTATGCAAAATCACTAGAAATACCCAGGTGACATTTTCTAAACGGGTCCCCCGTGCCAGCCAAATGGAGGAAAGAAGATAGAATGATTGAGACTGACATTTGGAAGAACTGATCTGATACATGGTTAGGGACTGAGGGTTTGTTTCTGAGACAGGGTTTTGCTGTGTAGCTCAGGCTGGCCCTTGAACTCACTATGTAGCCTGGGCTGACCTCAAACTCAGTGACCCTTCTGCCTCAGCTGGAATTACAACAGTCACACACCATCATACCTGGCTTGGTATGTAAGTTTTCTAATAATACAGATCTTTAATTCACTGTTTTTTCTCCCTCATCTAAACCATAGAAAAATGTTCTCTTAGTTTTGATCACCACACAGTTAGTTTCTAACCTGAGCTACCTCATCCACATTTCATTGACATTTCATTGACATTCATTGTCATTTCATTGACAGGAAAACAAATACAGTGCTGCTGAAAGAAGAATAAACATTAGATTGAGTGAAGCACATTACAAGCTAACAGCAGGATTCTGTTACAGATTACAATTACAGATACAGTAACACTCCTGTCCCAAATTCACTGTCATCATAGGTTAAGAACTATAAATGCTGGTGTTCTTGGAGAACTGATCCTGAATAACGAAGGGAAAATGTGTTGAGTTGGAGTCTGTAATTCTCAACAAGAAACCATTCTGCTCATTGAATAGACCCAGTCCTAAAAGCATGGTGTTCTTACCGAGCTACTCGGTCATGGCCCCCTGACACAAAATAATATCCATACGGAGAAAACTGTGTGTCCCACACAGGGTAGTTGTGTCCTTTATATCCCACCAAGCAAGTAAATGTCTGGAGGCTCCACAGTCTAACAGTTCCATCCTCCGAAGAGGAAAGTAGATAGTTCCTGAGAGGGAAAGGTGACACATTCAAAGAATCAGTTATCTGCAGTTTCTCCGCACATGTGAATACATTAAATTAGCTAGCTAGATGTTACCTGTCACTTTTATACATGGACTTTATAGTAGCTATCAAGAGCCAAAAATTCTACCCAACTAATGTTAAAACCAAACATGAGCCCAGCACTACATATACTGAACACCTACTAATGAGGTTAGATTATAAAAACTTAGTTTGTTAGGGGAGAAAATCAGTTCTTTAGCGGGGGAAATATCAGGCAAATGAAAACTGTTCAAATAAGGTAAATTGAGAGTTAAGAAATTTGACATGTTACTTAATTTTTGGCTCTAAAATGAAGATGCTGTTTTCTTATCCTATGTGATTTGTATTAAAAAAAAAAAAAAGGCAGGGAATGTAGGTCAGTAGTATAGCACATGCTTATATTTAGCATGCACTTAACGCCCTGTGTACCATTCCCAGCACCCTCCCCTCCAATTAAAGAATTAAAAAGAAAATACACTTTTTTGGGGGTAGAGGAAGGTAGAGAGCAGGGCTACAGATAGGCTAATACCATTTTAAGAGATAAATACACAAGCAGTTTTCACTGAAATCAGGTTTCCCTCAAGTAAGAAGCTAGCTTAGTCCCATTAGACAATAAACATCCTCAAAATGTTTCATGAAGACAGCCAGGCATGGTGGCACATGCCTGTAATTCCAAGCACTCAGGAGGCTGAAGCAGGAGGATTGCCACAAGTCTCCAGGCCTGCCTGAACTATGTAGCGAGACCCTGTCTCAAAAAAAAAAAAAAAATTAAGCCAGGGATTTAGCTCAGTGGCACCGCACCTGCCTTGCAAGCAAAAGGTCCTGAGTTAGGTCCCCAGTACCAAGAAAAAGAAGAAAGAAAAAAAATTTTTAAGTTTCATGAAGATAAAAACTATGATGGGTTGGAAGCTCTTTATCTGTCCAGGTAAGACACGGACAGGATCGTGTACAAAATACTCGTTTCTTTTTTTTCTTTTAGCAAAACATTTATTGTCAATCCCCATTTCTACAGAATGTTGGAGATCACAAAAAACAGGCAAATACCTAAACATACACAGTGATACTCTAGAATCCTATGGCTAAAAGAAAGCACAGCCTAAAAAACAGCAATTTCAAAATTCCTGTTTAGTGTATTCTTAAGGTTTACTGTTTCTTTTTGAAATGGCATCTTGGGCCAGTGATTTAGCAGAGTGGTTCTGCCACATCTCTTAACAAGCGCAAGGTCCCGAGTTTGATCCCCAGTAAGAAAACAAACAAAAAAGCAAAAAGAAATGGCATCTTGCCATGTTGCCCAAGCTAGCCTCAAATTCATGACCCTCCTGCCTCAGCCTCCCGAGTAGCTGGGATTATTGTAAGCACATGCCACTGCACTCAACTTTCTTAGGCTCTGAGGGTGGGTACTGAAAGACACAGCTTCAGTTGATAGGCATTACACGATTAATACCAGGAATCTGTCTTAAACATGATACCACAAGATACAATGTAGGGACCAAACAATTCAAACTCTATCAGGGTTATACAAAAATAGAGCTAATTTTTGAAAACCAGTGAGCCCTGAACTGTGCGATTTGATTCTATAAATTCAGACATATATTTTTGTTATCTTATAGACTAGTGCGCTAAGGTGAAACAACAAATGGCAGAATCTTAAAAGATGAATAGGCAACCATGAGAGTTTCCCAGTGGAGTTTTCCAGGCATTTGCACCGTGTGTCCCACAGCGAACTTTTACATCATCTCAATACAGTACTCAGTATTTAATTTTCATTGTTTCTATTTTACCTATCTGGACTGAAGCTGGCTCCATAGACAGGCCCACTGTGACCATACAAAATCTTCAACTCACTTGCGGTTTTCTCATCCATGATTCTTTCTAAGACATCATCTGATTCTTTGTCTATGAGGCTAAGATCTAAAATGGTCCAAAAATAATTTTTTTAAAGTGCATTCATCAAAACATTGTAATTACATCAAGGTTCAGGAGAACAACATTAGAACAGTGCTTCCTATACCCTAACCACAGTGCTAATGCCTCTAAATTAGGTAACATCATCCCATTAGCAGGAGAGGAAACAAAGGCTCGAACGGTTCATAATGTGCGGGGGTATGGCCAGTTACTCAGTATTGGATTGGCATTTAAATGTGCCAACCATAATACAAGAAAGTTTCACAAAAATGAAAACTGAAAATACTAAAATTAAAATTTTAAACTATTTTGTTTAGATAATGTAGTTAGCAAAAAAAACTTTCAAATGAAATCTTGACCATTACTTTTTTTTTAGCCATTTTTATGACTAAAACAAAGTATTCAACGACTTAAGGTCTCCTCCCTAGGGTTTAAGATTTACAAAATGTTACAATTTTAGCATTAAGGAGTTTTTAGCCTAATCCCTGTATTTTACAGATGAGAAATCTTAGGACCAGAGAAAATAAGTCTAGTAGTCTGGTCTCCTGCTTGCCACTCTAGTGCTCTCTGGCATCTTGAATTAAAGCAAAATCAGGTCAGTTTCTGGAAATATCACAACTTCCTATGTATATTCCATGAGGTCAAAACTGGTGTAGATTACTGGCAAGTTTACAGCCTTAAAGGTCATCTCAGTTACCTGCTGCTTGTTTGACCGTACGAAGCTTTTTGGGTGTCACAGACCACACTCTGACAGTTGAATCTGCAAAACCTCCAGCAATCAGACTAGAGTCATCAGTGACGTCCACTGCAGTGAGGCCCTGCCAACAAAACAAGTCTTATACTGAAAACACACGTTTAGAGAAAAGAATCGTGCTCACACCTTAGACAGTAGCAACGACTGGTTTTCCCGTATAAAAATCAGTGGGAAAGCTCACACCTGAAGAGCAGCTTGGCATTTACCCACTTTTGTCCTCCATGTTTGAGAGCATGAGAGGAAGCAAAGGCTAATTATTTTTGCATAACATTTGCTAAGTATATGCTCAGTGGCTATTAGGAGACTATAAAGATACGTAGAATTCTCCACTGGGTGTGTTGGTATATGCCTATAATCCCAGCACTCGTGAGGCTGAGGCAGGAGGCTTGCTGTGAGTTCTGTGAGTTCAAGACCAGCCTGGGCTACATAGTGAGTTCCAGGCCAGTCTCAACTACACAGTGAGACCCTGTCTCAAAAAAAAAAAAAAAAAAAAAAAAAAAAAAAAAAAAAGATATGTAGAAGTCTTAAAAGTATCATTTTATATTAATACTTAAATCAAGTTCAACAGAGATGAACCAGTGTTCACCTCTCCAATCGCTGGCAGAATTCTGATCCGTGAAATAAAGGTAAACAGCAAGCAAGATTCCAGTACAAGCTTTCTACCTATAGTGTAGCATCCAATTCTTTCCTGCCTTAAACTATATCAAGAGTTTATAGCATGTAATTGTAGCTGTGAGGGAGGCTGCAGCAGAAGGATCATAAGATGAAGTCCAGCCTGTGCAACTTACTGAGATCTTATCTCAAAATAAAATATAAAAAGGGACATAGCTCAGTGATAGGATTCAATCCCCAGTATCAAAAATAAATAAATAAAAAGAGCCAAGAATGATGGTGCACACCTGTAATCCCAGCACTTGGCAAGGCTGAGGCAGGAGGATCACCAAAAGTTCAAGACCAGCCTGGACTACACTGTGAATTCAAGCCTGAACTGCACACTGAGACCGTGTGTCAAAAAAAGTTTACTGCTGCCTGCCTCCCAGGCTCAAAGGCCTGAGTTTAATCCCCGGTACCAAAAAAAAAAAAAACTTTAAATTAAAAAGATGTTTTAGTTAATACTCGTTTAGCTTTCTCCTAATCACCACTTCACATGACTCTCTAGGAAGAAACTGATTGTTTTACCAACCTGGTAAGCATTGAGGAATGTATAGAAACAGATGGAGGGTAAGCAGTCTGGCCCCAGGCGGACTCGTTTGGTGGTTTCTTTCATATTCATTATCTTATCCAACTTATCTGAATCTTTTAACTCAGGAAGAGGGATTCTGTGAAAGAAAGTCAGACTGGAAATTACTCTTTAAAATAAGCGTGGTGGCACGGCACACGCCTGTAATCCCAGCACTTGGGAGGCCAAGGCAGGGAGATCACTGTGAGGTTGAGGCCAACCTGGGCTGTACAGGGAGACCTTGTCTCACAATAAAAAAAGAAAAATACTAACGCACTGAACCCTCTGGGGCAAATCTTACACCTCCACACAAGTTTCAGAGGTTTCTTCCTCACCTGTTTTGAGGTGGAGCATTGGGATCTTGTTTTTTGCTTTTGGATCCAATACTATCTTTTTTAGGCTTCTTTTTTTTAGGTTTTCCTTCTTCATTTTCTCCCTCTTCATCCTCATCATCCAAAGGCACCTCTATTTCTGGTTCTTTTAATAAACCAAAAAATACCTACAAATAAAAAGAACCAGTATGTTTTCACTTGATTTTTATTTAGTAATACATTTTTCCACACCTTGACAGGATGAATCAGTTATAACAATTTAGCCAGGTGTGGCGGCACACGCTTGTAATCCTAGCACTCGGGAGGCTGAGGCAGGATGATCACCATGAGTTCGAGGCCAGCTTGGGCTCCATAGTAAATTTAATGCCAGCCTAAACTATATAGTGAGACCCTGTCTCAAAAAAACAAAACAAAACAAAATAACCCCAATATAGTGCGCATATATATATATATATATATATATATATCCTGAAGTAGAGTTCTGTATTTGTCTACACAACTGCCATTTTCCCCTTTTTTCCTTATTAACAGAACCCTGATTTTACTGAAGCAGCAATGTGCTCACTTAAATCATTTCTGTTCTCAGGCTCCCTTGCAGCTAGGAATGACCATAAAACATAATTCGGGCCAACAGATTTACAGATATATATTGGGGATGGTTTTAAAAAACAAAAGCAAAAACAAAAAGTTGTCTTCCTGATAAAAAGGGAGCAACTCCACAGGCTTTCATCCTCCTCTTCTTTCTTCCTGACATGGCTGCAGTGCTCAAGCTGCGACAGCTGTCTGGGAGCATGCAGAACCACATCCTAAAGACGGTGACACTGATGCCACCGTGCAGCGTCACGTCAGCCCTCATGGGCCCTCCTCTGGAATGCTTCCCATGTGAGGGAAACTCCTCCTTCGGCCACTGCTGTAAGGGTTCTGTTAAGTGCAGCTGCTCCCAAATCCTCACATACACACATCATCTTTTGGAAGGTGCAATTTTAAATACAATGTAAAGTTATTCCCAAGCTAGCTACAAGAAAAATGTATAAGTTATGTAGATGGAAATGCTACAGTTTTTCAAAATCTGCATTATATAGTTCTTAGGTTTATTCCCATACCTTTGATTTGTTTGCCTCTCGTTTAGCCTCTCCTGCCAAACTTCCCACCATCGCATCTATCTGTTGCTTACTACGCGGCATCCCATCAAAGATGTCAATGTAGAGGTGCTCCTGAACTATGTTCCATATCTGATTGTTCTGTTTCTCCTGAAGATGCCTCTTCAAGAGTTGGTACGAGTCACGGGAAATACGCAGAACAAATTTACTTGTTCGAAAATCCAACATGGTTTCATTCCCTTTCATGTGTTCCTTTTTGGTAAGACTAGATAATACTCGTAGGTCATCCTGGTAATAACATTCCTGATCTCCATGGAACCTGTTTCAGTGATTTTAAAAAGTCATTTTTCAATGTAATTGTTAAGGGTTCTGCCTCTCCCCCATGTATTTATAAACCATCCCAGAATATTTTCAATGCAGTAGTCTGAATCATCCTCAACTAAGCTGTAGAGTCAGAACTAATTCACTTCAAAATACTTACAATTCAGCTTCTGGATTTATCCTAAAATGATAAACTTAATCCTTTAATGAAAGTTATCATAAACATTTTAAGAGCAGGATTAAAAAAAATATCGTAAGTAGGTGAAAGGTAAACTACCCACTTTTGGTACAGTTTATCTTTGAAAAATGTCATTTATCATTTGAAAAATGTCAGAACCCTTGCTTTACTGAATTTTACATTTTCTCAAAATCCCACTTTTTACAACTGTTTTATTATGGCAAGTTTCAAGCAGATAAAACAGTAGAAAATGGTATAATGAATTCAATGTGCCTATCATAGCCTTTTAACATAATCGATACATAGATTCTCATAAGCTCCACCTTTTTTTTTTGAGACAGGGTCTCACTATATAGTTGAGACTGACCTGGAACTCACTCTGTGGCCCAGGCTGGTCTCAAACGCACAGCAATCCTCCTGCCTCAGCCTCCCGAGTGCTGGGATTACAGGTGTGTGCCACCACACCCGGCTTCAGCCCCACCATTTTTAATGCTATCCTATGTTCTTATATCAGAAATATTTATGAAATATCAGTACTCTAATATTGTTAACAAAAGAACAAACATTAATAGCAAATGATGCAAGCTTCCATTTACTCACCATTATCAAAGGCAATTAAAGCCTTCAGCTTTGGTGACAACTAATACATATAAATGTACTTTTGTTTTTAAAGATCTTAAGCTTTCCTAAAAAAGTAAAATTAAATAGGCAGTAAGAGCAGCAAATCAATACAAAATATTTGGAAAATGATGACTAAACATTAGAGACAAGGCTCCAGCTCGGAAAGACACAAAGCCAATGGCTCCCTAAACTTATGTTGCCCATTTGGGTTCATCAATACTTCAATCAATACATGAACTACAGGTTTCTAAGATTTGAATGCAGTGGTTTTCCTATCACAACCTATTAGCCCTTAGACACGGAGTCCTGGCAAAGGCTGAGACTGTCCCAGACAGGGAAACAAGGACACTCCATGGCATTCCAGCTTCTTGTGTAGGAAGATGGCTAAACCATGAGACTGGAAAAGAGATTTTCATGAGTACTATAGGAGAAATTAGCTCTATTAGAAAATCTGTCTCATTAACATTCTCAATTTTTTAAACACTACATTACAGAAAATGTTGCTTTCTAAAACTTCTATTAGGCATCCTAGTAAAATGAATAAATATAATGGCAGAAAACTCCTGTGTTACCTAACAAGTCCTATCTTCAATCTCTACTGCTTAAAGAGCTATTAAGCACTGCTTCCTACACTGCTTTCCTTTGGCCTCTATGGCAAACACACTCCTGGTTTCCTTCCTACTTCAGCTTTTTTCTCTTACACTCGTCCATTAAATGTTGGAGCCCCTCAAGGTTTGGGCTTAGTCCTGTTGTTTCATACTCTCCTCTGGATAGCCTCACCTACGGCCATCAACAATGTACATGACTCCAATCTATGGCTCCAGTCTCTACTGCTCCCCCAAACTCTGTATTGTATCAAGCAGGAAAAAAGATGGTAGGGGGAGCTGGTGCTGGTGGTACGCACTCAGGAGGCTGAGGCAGGAGGATCACTGTGAGTGCAAGGCCAGCCTGTGCTAGTGAGTTCCAGGCCAGCCTGAACTATGTATCAGGACCTGTCTCAAAAAGCCAATAATACAAAATAAAAGAGACAGTGAGGGACAGAGTAACTATTAGTTTATGAGGACTGGAGGTTACGAGTGGTCCTCAACGGAAATAATGTCTCTTAAATGAGTCAAAAAGCACATCTGAATTAGAACTAAATATTATGCCTGGGCTGGGATGCAGCTCAGTACTAGGGACCCGTGTTCAAGATCCAGGGTTCCATACCCATCCAGCATCTTCCCCAAAACCATTCTCTACCTGAGAAACAAAGTTCTTCTCCTGGACTTTCTACATCAGTGAAGCACATGCCTATCCAGCTGAGGGGCTGGAAACCTGGGATCATCAAGATACCTGGGATCGTCCATCCCCTCACTTCCACATCCAGTCCACCAAGGGTCTCACCAATCTACTTCTCTGTACCTCCACCTCCAAAGCCTAGCCCAGTTTTTCTCAACAGGAACGCTACGAGCATTTTAGGCAGGACAATCTTTGCTAAGAGGACCACCTACACATCCTAGTGCATTCAGGACCCTGCTCTCCCAACATGACAACCAAGATACCTCTACCTCTGCAGATGGCCTAGGGGAAGGAGACTCATAACCTCTATGAAGAATCTCTTGAAAACCTCCAAAATGGTCAACCAACAGGCACTCTGTCCCTTAGCATCTGTTCTCCTTTCTACATAAATTCCCTCTGAAAGTGTGTATTTATAATGACATAGTCCTCCAGTGACTTCTGAAGCAGATGCCTTGCTCTCTCCAAATATCCATGTTTCCTTTTTTCCTCCATAACAGAAAACTTAAATATTAGCTGAGCACATAAATCCTAAGTAAAGACCACATTTCCTAGCTCTTTTGTAGGTAGGTGAGGCCATCGACGGGAAAGTTGTAAGAAGCAGTGCCTACTTCTTCCAAGAAGGATGTGTGCCCTCCCTATGACTAGAACACTGACATACATGCTCAGAGCTGGAGCCACTGTCAGCCACATGGGGACTACATGACAGGGCGGCAGAGCAACAAGCCTGAGGGTGCCTGACAATCAAGGACCCATGGCATCAGTCCCAAACAGCCTACCTTCAGGAGACAGAGAAATAAACTTTCACTGTTATTTAAACCTCTGTTGTTTGGGTTTTCAGTCACTGTCTCAGTCTAATCTAATCCGAACACAGGTTCCTATTCCTTTTAGAATAAAGACAGAAATAATTTTTTTATGCTGTCATTATTTTTGCCAATGACTCTCAGCCAAATCTAATTCTACCCAAAACAACTCCCTACTGCTCTATGGACAAAGACGTTCAGCATGGTCCAGGAATCAGCCCCTGATGGATCACTGTACTACACTCCACCCATTTTCTGCTCCAGCTGTGGCCCTCTCTGTTTCTGCAGAGACCATGACCCCTCCTGTGACTCAGCTCTCACAAATACCTTCCCCTCCTCTCTTTAGTTAGTTCCAACCCCATCTTCAGACATCACCTCAGACATGGCTTCCTCTGGGAGCCCTCCCTGACTTCTCCCACTGCATCACCCTCCATGTGAGGTTAACACAGCCCTGGGTAACTCTCCTTCATAAAGTATCTTCTGAGTTGCAATCTTACATTTGTATGGTTACACATGTGTGTATGCGTATGTATAAATAAATGTTAAAATTCACATACTTCTCAAAGAATGACTTTGCTTCATTCTCATGTTGATTATAGACTAGCTCCAAGTACATGTGTACAAACAGAGGATAAAAGAGTTGGGATAGTTCTGCTCGATGGCAGTCCAAGGAACATTCAATGAAGTGTTTCAGTCCACTATAGTATTCTTCATACATTGTAGGGTCTCCTTGTTGATTGTAGGCAGACAATACAGCACTGACATCTGGCTGGTCTTCCACAGCTACACTTCCAACTGTTTTAAAAATGAAAGACAACTTTTAAGAAAATGATCTGAGGGCCGGGGATTTAGCTCAGTGGCACCACGCCTGCCTTTCAAAGTCCTAAGATCAATTCCCAGTACCCCCCCAAAAATAAAATGATCTGATATATACCAGGTGAGATGGCTGCTTTACTAAGGTCCAGAGGCGAGCTATATCTCAATTTGTCCCTTTCCTCTCAGTTTCTCTTCCTCAACACAATCACATAATCTTTTAATAGGATTTCACACTTGTGTCAGTCACCCAATCCAAAAACTCCTTCTGTGTGTCCACATCTTAAAATTTCAAATCAATAATGAAAACATCCAGGGCTGGGGATGTAGCAATGGCACAAATGCAAAGCCCTGAGTTTGATTCCCAGTACCAGGGGGAACAAATTCAATATGCTCCCTGGAACTACCTTATCTTTTGGGGTTTTTTGTTTGTTTGTTTGTTTTTGTTTGTTTTTGGTACAGGGATCCAACTCAGGACCTTGCGCTTGCCAGGCAGGCATGGCACCAACCCCCGGAGGAACCAGCTTATCTTAAAGATAAACCATATATATACATGCAGGGCTGGAGATGTGGCCGGTGGCAGAATACTTGCTTAGCATGCAGAAGGCCTTGGGTTTACGCCCCAGCACCACACACACACATGTACACATACATACACACTCGTGAATCGAACAATTACATTACTCTCCTCTCAAGGCTCAATACAAATGGCATCCACCACTACAACCCATATCTAGAGTAACACTGCCAATGCTCTGAACTACTCAAGTACTTTGTAACATTTCTGCAACATATCCTGTGTTACGTTCCCATGTACACACCTATCACCCTGTTCAGCATCTTAAATGAGGACAGTGCTTTTTCATATCTCCAAGAGATAAGTCAATTGTATGTGTTGAAAGCAATTCCCATAACCACCATTTCAAGGCAGAAAACGTATTTATTTGTACCAATGATACATAATCAAATCATTTTGGTTGTTAGAAATTTTGGTAAATGGGCCGGGATGTAGCTCAGTGGTGCCACACCTGCCTGGCAAACACAAGATTCTGTGTTTGATCCCCAGCACAAGAAAAGAAATGAAATTTTGATAAGTTGAAATTACAGTACAATCATGTTCTATTTTTTTAAAGTCATAAAGGGATTCTACAGAAATGTAATGGTTTTGATGGCCCCTTTTCTCAGTTATGACCTAAAAATTTTGTTTTTGAAAAGATGAAAGACAACACCAAAATAACGAACAATCTAATTCATCTCATAGTTCATTCATAAAATTCAGTATTCAGAAAAGATTCTTAATCGTATTTTTCCACAATTTTATTTATAGATTATAACATTAAATATACAAACTTCACTTCCAGCAATGCTGCAAAGACTAGGTCTCAAATATAGATTAATTTGGCCATGGGCTCCACACTAGATAACTTAATTCAACATTTACTGATCAACTTGAGACCTTATTAGTGCACAGACTTCACAACAATAGCTGCTGGGAGAAAGGGGTCCTCAGGTGTCAGGGATGGATACAAAAGCATGACTTTTCAGTATTGCGCCATTTTACATATACTTTATATGCGCCTCATAATAACGCATTAAACAGGAAAAAAATCTCAGCTGTAAAAAAAAATGACTTTAACAGGTACTACAGAAATACAAGCAGCAGAGATTAATAGGTTTGTCCTACGCCTGTTCCTAAACTTACGGTTCTCAAATTCTGCATCAATTCTGAGACAAGCTTACTGCAGGTTCCCAGATTCCACCTCCAGAGAGGTTAAGCCTGAAGCAAAGCCCAGGAATTTGCATTCTCCAAAACATTTAACACTGGTGGTCTGTATTTTGAGAAAAACTGGCTACATTATGTGCTGGCACTCCCTAACTGTGTGGTTCAAAGTCCATTTCTTGGCCTTTCTCAAGCAGTCTGTTCACCATCTATCTCTGAAACAGGGGTAGTGTCTCCACGCAGTGGAACTGTGTCAATTAAGATGCGTAAATGAGAGTACTTATAGTACAGCAGCGTGGACCTGTACCAATACCGTTCGTGTCGATGCGCACTACCCAGGCTTCGAAGCCCGAGGAAGGGAAGCAAAAGCCCGAGCTCCCCGCCTCTCCATCCCTCTGCCCGACAGCTCAGCCTCGCGCTGGAACTGACAGTTTCAAGCTGGGTCTGACTGCGCAGCCGGCTCACCAGCGAAAGGGGCGGGCATGTGGCCGTAGAGGCGGGCCCAGGAAATTCAAAACAAGCCCGCAGAGGCGCCGGCCTGCCAGCCCCTGGCTCCCCGGCTGGCTCCCCTCCGAGCCGGCCCTGCGCTCGG